GGGGTCAGGGTCTTTTTCTAGAGGAGCTCCAGGTTGAGTTGGGGGAGCAAGTTACAAGGAAAAAAAATAAATAGATAAATAAATAAAGGAGCTATAAACAGGATTGTGTTTCAGCTTTCATTGGGAAATCTTCACCAAGGTCAGTTTATGGGAAGTTTTAATGGACAACGTAAACTTCGCTTCCCAGGAGGGACGGCCACGCCACAATCCCTTCTCCTCTATTCTCCTCTTGGGATTTTGTGCACACATGTGCACGTGCCCAGCATGAGTTTTAAGCTGCCGGATCCGGGACTTGAACTGTTCTATGTGAGAGTCTAGCAACATAACCATTACACCATCTGCTGGTCCCCAGAATACATTTTTTTTTAATTAATGAATTTATTTCTTCTGAGAGACAGAGAGAGAAAGAGAGAGAGAGAGAGAGAAATAGGCGCCCTCAGGAAGGTCCTCATGCCATGATCCACGCTCTCACTCAGACCTGCCCAGACATGGGAGGTGTGCCCAGGGAGGAATCAGGATGTGAACGCAGCATCTTCCCCATGTGACTCCAATTGGATACCCCTGTACCACCACCTGATCCCTGAATACCTCTTTAAGTAAACAACAGGAGGATAAACGTTTACATTACAGATGGAAAAAAGGGGCCACTGAGTGGCATGGTGGTTGAGGTGCTGGACTCCCACATGGTTGGCCACAGTTCAAGTCCAGGACCCAGCGGCTTGAAACTCACGCCAGGCACATGTGCGTGCCTGCCCAACATCCCAGGAGGAGGTTGGAGGAGAGGGGATTGTGGTATGACCATCCCTCGTGGGGGGTGATTTCTCACTGTCTCTCTGTCTTTCTCTCCAGATAGTACATGTGCCCTATAGCAAACATCTCTGGAGGGAAAAAAAAAAAAAAACAGAGATGGAAAATAAAAATAATGAACACATGTACATATTTTGATATCATCTTTCCTAAAGTGCCCTCGTTTACTCACAAATGTCATCTGCCATTGTAGTAACTGGCCTGTGGCTCATTTCACCAGGAAGGCGGGGCCACTTTTTGCAAGGGCTGCAATAGTGCCTTACTGCATGCGTGCCGTCTGCTGTTAGGGGTCTCCAGGAGAGCCCTCCACTGTGTGCTCTAATTATTTCCAGGCAATTTTTTTTTTTTTTTTTTTTTTTTGGTTTCAAGAGCTCCTCATCTACAAAAGTGTGAGCACCAGCTCAGTGTCTGGTGCTTGGAAAGTGCTCATAAATACCTCCAGAAATACCGAGTGAACAAATGTATTCTTACGTTCTGTTCCTTAAGCAAGTGTATTGTTACCGCTGCGTTTCATTTCATTTATTATTATTAATATTATTATTTTACTCTTTCACTTGAGCCTGTGTCCAAACATGGGCATCTGCAGTGATTTCAGCAACACTGAGGCTGGTGGTCAGGGCTGCGATGCAGGCTGGCCTCGCCTCCTGGGCCCGTGCAGCGTGTGCTCCGAGCTGACAGAGTTGCACCATGCTTCTGTTGCGGGCTTTGCACTGCCACTGGTGTGCAGTGCTCGGACTTCCGTGGAGACCTGTCTATGGTTTTCGTGAAATGATATTTTAATACTGCTTATTTCCCCCATAAAGATAAAACACTTTTCTACCATAGGAAATACTATTGGGTCATCAGAAAATCACGACACATTTTTGCAGAGAAAAATACCTGACCACTGTTCCCACGACTCCATATTTTTTCTTCTTTTTTTTTTTTTTTAAGATTTATTTATTTTTAATTTTATTTATTATTTTTCTTTCATGTTGACCAGAGGCAGACAGACAGAAAGGGAGAATAAGAAAGCTAGCTGCCAGGTTCAAGACTCGAACTGTGGTTAGCCATGTGGGAGTCCAGCGCCTCAAGACCTGCACCACCTGCTATTCCCCCCCCCACATATTTATTCTTATTCCTTAGATAGGAGCATCTTTCAAGGTGATGAATATGGTGTACTAATTACCAATTACAATTGTGGGGACTACATGTAGTATACTTGTAGGTACCCCAACACATTTAGAAGAGGGAGTTCCTTAACTGGAGCATGAAGACTATGCAATTCCTCCACCTTTTAGTTTCAAAAAACAGACACTGAAACCCAGCTGCAGTAGAGTGTGCTGGAGGGTCCGCTCTGCAGGCAGGGACCACACGGGAGGCCCACCCGCTCTAAAAGCTGGGGACTGTAGCATGCAGCAGTAATCCCGGCCACTCAGGCACTGAGGCAGAAGAAGACCCTGTCTAAAGCATGTGCATGCACATGCACACGCATACACACATACAACAGAAACAGCCACCACCACCCAAAAGCAGGTGCTGACTCGGAATAACAGGATGAAATGAAATACTTGGGATTCATCTCAGGTTATAGAATTCTTTTGAACATCTACACTGGGCTGTTGTACTTCCTTGTAGAGGAACAGCTTGGAAAAGCTCGGAAAGGTGTGATTCCAATGCAGCCCCCTTTCCAAAGACGACGAAGCACCCGCCCGCTGGAAATCGGAGCTCCGTTCTTCCAAGACGGTCAACTGCAAGTCAAGGTCTACTGGAAAAAGACCGAAGGTATGTCATGCTTTTCACTTGTCCCTTACTGACTTGACACAGCACAGTGACAGAATGACAGAGCAATACCTGTAAAAAAGTCAAGGGCAGGCTGGCAGGTGGTGTGGTGGCTAAGATCCGGGACTCCCACATGGCCGACAGCAGTTCCAGTCCTGGACCTGGTGGCTTGCTTTCTCACTCTCTGTTTCTCTCTGGTCAAGTTAAAAGCACATAACAGTAAAGTCAGAACAGTATTGCACGCTCAGTATGGTATTGAACTTAAGGCAAATGGTAGCTGAGCGAAATGGGGAGATTAATGTCTCTGTACTGACTGACACGCATGGCATTCCCTTTTGAAAAAGCAATGTAATACACTGTAAAGTTATATGCGATCCAGTGTAATATAAACAAGATTATGATGACAATAAAAAAAATAATTTTTTTAAAAAGCTATTTTTTTTTAACAAGTTTTTGCATTAGGGAGCATGCACTCACCAGAGAGAAAGAGAGAGAGACAGAGATAGAGACAGTAAGAGAGAAAGTGAGACATCATCCCCCCCAAGGGGGGATGGCCATGCCACAATCCCTTCCCCTCCATTCTCCTCATGGGATCTTGGTCATGCACGTACACACGTCCAGTGTGATGTTCAAGACACCAGGGCCGAGACTCGAACCAGTCAGCCGTGTGGCCTGGACCTGGTGGCTTGCTTTCTCACTCTCTGTTTCTCTCTGGTCAAGTTAAAAGCACATAACAGTAAAGTCAGAACAGTATTGCACGCTCAGTATGGTATTGAACTTAAGGCAAATGGTAGCTGAGCGAAATGGGGAGATTAATGTCTCTGTACTGACTGACACGCATGGCATTCCCTTTTGAAAAAGCAATGTAATACACTGTAAAGTTATATGCGATCCAGTGTAATATAAACAAGATTATGATGACAATAAAAAAAATAATTTTTTTAAAAAGCTATTTTTTTTTAACAAGTTTTTGCATTAGGGAGCATGCACTCACCAGAGAGAAAGAGAGAGAGACAGAGATAGAGACAGTAAGAGAGAAAGTGAGACATCATCCCCCCCAAGGGGGGATGGCCATGCCACAATCCCTTCCCCTCCATTCTCCTCATGGGATCTTGGTCATGCACGTACACACGTCCAGTGTGATGTTCAAGACACCAGGGCCGAGACTCGAACCAGTCAGCCGTGTGGGAGTCTAGTGACATAACCACTATACCATCTGCTTGCCCCCCAGAAGCTCTTTTGTATTAAAGCTTGGCTGAGTTGATATTGATTTCTAGGATTCTACATTGCATTTTGAAACTAATTTGCCAGAGGGTATGTGTGCTCACTGCTGAGGAAAAGAGAGATAAAGCTAGAAAGCATACCCATGGGGCATTGTCATACTGCAATCCCTTCTCCTCCGCTTCTCCCTCCTTTGGGGATTTGGGGCATGCATGTACCTGTGCCCAGCATGTTTTTCAAGCACCGGGTCTAGGACTTGAACCACAGAGTCAGCCATGTGGGATCCAGCTGCCTTAACCACCAGGTCACTAGGGCTGGCCCTCTCTATCACATTTTGAAATACTGAATTGTTTAAGTTTCTTTTCATTTCAAGGATGTCGGTCTGTGTTCCCATCTTTCCTAGAAGGCTGACTTTCAATCTGAAACGCTCAAAATATTCATTATTAGGAGCTATATTTTTTGTTCTAAATTATTTTATGGGGAGAAAAAAATACCCATAATATAATTTGAAAAATAGAAAAAAAGTCACCTATCATCTCAATATCACTTCCTGAAAGCAACATTTCGGTGGGTTTTCTTTCAACGGTTGTATTTGCATGTGTTTCTTCCAGCTGGTGTGTGTGTACTTGTGCGTATGTGTGTGCATGTACATACGTGTCTGCAGTTAGCCTGGGAGAGTCAGCCACCTTATCCACCATGCCACTGACTGGCCCAACCTTTCTTTTTGTTTTTGGAGAGGTTTTTGCTATAGGGCACGTGTGCTCGCCAGACGGACAGAGAGAGACAGAGAGATAGAAAATGAGAAATCACCCCCCAGGGGGGATGGCCATGCCGCAATCCCTTCTCCTCCATTCTCCTCTCGGGATCTTGGGCACGCACGCACACGCGCCCGGCGTGAGTTTAAACCACCGGGTCCGGGACTCGAACCGTGCTGGACTACGTGGGAATCCAGCGACATAGCCATTACGCTAACTGCTGGTCCCGACCCACCATTCTTTATGGTTGGCCACAACGTTGATTTCTAAGATATAATTGAAGTGAAATATGTCTCTACAGAGAATATCGTGTGCAGAGGCGGTCACACGATATTCTGACCATGGAAGCTCTCCAGCAACACCATGCGATTATAGCGTGGCTGCTTATTCAGGATGAAGAGGCTCACTCCGTAGCTTTCCTGATGTGTCATATATATATGTGTATACATTTATTTTTTGGTGGATTTTTCTTACACCCTGAGTTTGGTTCCTGCCATTTCCGCTTGCGTGCTCTCTAAGCAGTCGTACGGAACATTTCTTTGAAGTGAAGGGCAGAGCTTGGAGGACTGTCTAGATTCCCTCCACCAGGAAGGTGGGAATGCAGAATCGGGTATTTTGCTTCTGCTTTGTTTGTGAGATCCTTCCAAGGAGTGTGGAATGCAAAAGGAACGTGCATGAAAATACCCAGACGGACAACTCATGCCTCTGTCACGCACTTCAAGCCTTTGACGAAGATGACAGAACCTAAAACCAAGCACAGTGTAATTTCCCTCCGCTAATCTTGCCTCTGAAAGCTAGTGGCAAGATCTTTTGTTTTTTAACTAAGGTGATAAAAGAAATATAGAACAAAAGAGAGGAAAGAAAGGTCCGATTTTTCTTTTAAATTAATCCTTTAGATAGTCAGTAAGCATTACCAATATTAATAATTTCTTCCAGGATACATTCATATGTATTTATATAGCAGGGATTATTTCTCAGCAGCACATATAGAATTGCTTCAGTGTTAAAAACAATTGCCCAGGGGACCAGCAGTTAGCGTAATGGCTATGTCGCTGGACTCCCATGTAGTCGACCATGGTTCGCGTCCCGGACCCAGTGGCTTAAAACACACTGGGAGCGTGTGCGTGCGTGCCCAAGATCCCGAGAGGAGAATGGAGGAGAAGGGATTGCGGCGTGGCCATCCCTCCTGGGGGGTGATTTCTCGCTTTCTGTCTCTCTCTGTCTGGCGAGTGCACGTGCCCTATAGCAAAAACCTCTCCAAAAAAAGAAAGAAAAAAAAGAAAAACAATTGCCCATTATTCTTTGAACAAAGACAGTGTAATTTATTTAAACAACACTGTAAAGATCATGGTGACAGTGACAATTTCAATATTTTTCTGATTAAAAAACATTATCATGAAGATTCGATATACATAATGTAAGCTTGCAGTTACTGAAATATTTTGTAAAATATTGTCCCAAAACATTCAAATATAAGAGAAAGTAGAAGGAATAATCCAGCCAGAATCTTTGTGCCCACCACTGATCAAAAAAATAAATAAATACGTTAATGATACAGCTTAAACCGTGCACAGTCCTACCGAATTACACACCTCATATCTGAGATGAGGGACAGTGTAATTATTCCTGGAACATATATTTCAGAGCTGTTTGTACTTTTGCTTTTTGAGGACCTTCCTGTTCATAACCTTTGCCCATTTTACATTATATTGTCAGTCTTTCTTATTAATTCCAGGGACGCTTTACACATTAGTGGAATGAACTCTCTTTTTAAAATTAATTATTTTTTATTTTTAAATTAATGATTGATTGAATTTTGTGATCATTATTATTCAGCTTGCTCCAGGGCATGTGTGTTCACCAGAGACAGAGAGAAAGAGAGTGAGAAAGCAAGCCACCAGGTCTGGGACTACCACGGTTGGCCACGTGGGAGTTGTGCCCCAATCACCATGCCACCTGCTGGCCCCTAAATCAATTTATTTTTAAAAGTATGACTTCTTTTATATATCTGTAGTAATGATTTTTAGGAGAGTATATTAAAATACGTGTCATGCAACAATGTGAAGCTGTAAACATTAGAATGAGCTTAGGTATCAATGAGTGCAATTTTCATTTATTTTTTAGCTTATTTTGTAAATATGTTCGGATTGTCTACTTTATAACAGGCATTGTGTTGAAGGGTGGGGATGTGAGTTATTTAAGAGAGTAGAGTTATTTAAGAGAGATTATAAGAGCGTCCACACTGTGTACTGTCTGAACTGTCATTCTTGTCAAAGTGAAAGGAGGCATTCTTGAACTTTATTCCCCCACACAGACATAAATTGTGACTTTCCCGAGAAAACCAGGATTCACACTCACCTAGATATTAAGAAAGACTTGGTTGATGGAGACCAGTACTTAGCATAAGGGCTATGTCGCTGGACTCCCATGTAGTTGACTGCAGTTCGAGTCCCGGACCTGGTGGCTTAAACTCACACCAGGCGCTTGTGCGTGTGTGCCCAAGATCCCGAGAGGAGAGTGGAGGAGAAGGGATTGCTTCTGCTTTGTTTGTGAGATCCTTCCAAGGAGTGTGGAATGCAAAAGGAACCGTACAGGGTGATTTCTCACTTTCTGTCTTTCTGTCTCTCTGTCTCTGTCTTTCTGGGGAGCGCAAGCGCCCTATAGCAAAACCCTCTCCAAAAAGACAAAGAAAGACTTGGCTGAAGGGAAGTTCGAGAGGGAGCCTTGAACTTGCAGCTTGAATGACTACTGAAGTGAGCCTTGACTTACCAAGACTGTGAACAACAGAATGACTGCATGTCCTGGGAGGGGGACGATGTGGTGTGTTGAATGTCCAGGAAGAGTCCCCTCGGCAGTCCAGAAGGCACGCCTAGAGCTCCGAAGTGACCAGGCCAGGCTAGGGACATGGCCCAATGGCAGGTGATGGGTGAGGAAAGTTGGGGGAACATGGGGGCTCTGCTAGGCAGTTCATGTTGGTAGCCCTACAAGAAACAAGCAGAGCATGAACTAAAAGCGCCGTGCCGGGGA